TGAGGAACGAGAAAAAGTCCCATTGTCCCTACCAAACAGAAATGTATGGGGTTTGATGTTGTATGAGAGAGGCAGCACTTGTCCATCATCCCTTGCACTCTGTTACCATGAACTGAACAATGAGTCAAGAACAGGCTCAGGTAAGGGAAATCTGAGACTTGGTGGAACTGTTGCCAACATCAAGCAATGTGCTCGTCTTTCCCATGTGTGTCCTCTGCCGTCTGTCTTTCTGCTTCTCTTTTCTCTGAATAGTTGTCCTTCCCTTTCCAGACATTAAACGGTAACTTTCTAGGTCTCTTAGACAGTATCATTAAAAATGAGATGAATTAACAATGTATGAATCAGACTCTGAGATACATCTGATTGTACATATATGTCAGCACTGTACTTTACTATGAGTCTTTTTTTTTCTGGGCAAAATACATCTTTATTTAGATGGAGAGGAAGATAAATATTGAAAAAATTCCAACATTGATGTGTTTTTAAAACACAAATATTATCAATGATGTTATAGAGATAGATTATATTTTTAAAAATATGTTTGACCATATTTTATTTGAAGTCAGATGATATAAACCCTTCAACTCTGCTTGTTTTGAAAATAAATGTTTTGGCTTTTATAGATCCTTTTCATTTTTATGAAAAAAAATTAAAATCAGTGATTCAATTTCTCCAAAAATGAAAAAAAAAAACAAACAAACCCACAAAACTACTGTGACTTTGAATGGGAATGTCTCATTCTACCTGTGGATCAATTTGGGGAGAACTGCCATCCCCACTATATTAAATCTTTTAATTTAGTGAATATCTTCATTTATTTAAAACTTCTTTAATAGCATAGCTTTGAATATACATAGTTTGTCTACATTTTATTTAATGTATGCCAAAATCATCCTTTTACTATTGAAATTCCTATTTTGTAATTTAATTTTCCATTTGTTTATTACTTGTATATAGACATACAGCTGATTTTTGTTTATTGGTTTTGGGTCCTTCATCTTACTAAACCCATCTGTTAGTTCTGGTAGATTTTTGTTAAGACTTTAGAGTTTTCTTCATAAGCAATGATTTCTTCTTAACAGAATCAATCTGTATGTCTTTTATTTATTTTTCTTGTCTTCTTATATTGGATAAAACAAACTCCAGTACAATATTGACAGATGTTATTAACTTGTCCCCAGTCTTAGAAAAAAGTGCTCACCTTTCACCAGTTAGCAGTGTGACAGCTAAACACTCAAATGGCTTTTGTCATGTAGAGAATGGTCCCTTCTATTACAGTTTATGAGAGTTTTCAAAGTCATGAGTGGGCATTGAATTTTTTAATGCTTTGCTTTAACTACTGAAATGATCTTATTTTTCTCTTTTAAATTGTTATTGTGATCAATTACATTAATTGATTTTTGAATGTTAAGACAAAGTTGCATTTCTGGAAAAATTCTGATTGAGTGAACTATTATCTTATTTACATATTTTGGTACTGATTATATATATATATATATGTTGGCAGCATTTGGGTTTTGAATTGATAATTCATTTTAAGGAGATTTAGTTAGTGACTTTCATGTACTGTCGTTTCTTGGATTGTTGAGGTAACCACGGCCTCATAAAACCTGTTGGAAAGTGTTTTTCATATGAATTTCATAAACACTGCAGTACTTTTGAATGTTAGATAGAATTCACCAGGAACTGTTCTATGGAACTTGGGCAAAGAGGGAAAGGAAAAGATAACGATGATAATAGAACATCAGTAATATCGTAAAACATAAGATTTGTGAAGGAAGAGGATACAAGGATGAATGTTGTTGAAAATGGGAGGCAGGAGGTAGAGGGGTAAGGGAACGTAATGGAAGGGGTTAAATGGACCAAAGTAAAGTAGACTCACAGTGGGCATACATCAAGACACTCCTTTGAACATCAACTTAAATATTACTAATTAAAAAAACAGAACTGTAAAATAGGTTCAGTGTGTGGGGGGGGTATTATGGGAGGGAGAGGGTGCATGAAGGAGACTAAGGTGACACTATATGGTTGATGGATTTCATATACTTACATGAAATAGAACAAAGAAATCTCTTGCAATTGCTTTAAGTGGGGTGGGGAAAGGGCTGAGGAGGAGGGATGACGGGGGTGAAATAACTAACGCACGACATAAGTCTAATCAGAATCCCCCCTGATTATGAATCCCCCCTGTATAGCAAATATATCCTAAAAAAATTCTTAAAAGTAAAAAAGAATTCACCAGTGAACCTATCTGGGCTTAGACATTTTTTGTAGCAAGATTTGTAAGTACTGTACAGAGTCAATTTGGTAAACTTTTTCTTGTGACAAACCTACTGGGTATTCATAATATCCTCTTATTCCCCTTTTAATGTTTATAACATATTTTTCCTTTTCTTATGAATGAAGGTTCATGTCACAAATACTCCTTAAGACAGAGGGGGTTGCAAGGTCCATCATTTATAAGATATTTCGAACTCGTAACTGTGATCAGACCTCTTTCCAGGTATCTTTTCACATCAAAGATGATTTATGTAGTTTACTTATGATAATACAGTGAAAGCTCTGTGCCCCTGTGTATGCTGTCCAGAGTCAGGGATTACAGAGCCCTGGCTGACATGCAGGGGAAGGACTTTCCCACAAAGACAGCTTCTCAGGATTGGTCTTTCAAAGTCAATTTGTGTCATTTTGCTGCTTCCAAGTAACAAGGAATGTGTTCAAAATTTTCCTGATTCCCATATCACACTGAATTTAAATTTATGAATGGAAATCCTGTATCTCTCTTCTCTCTCTCTCTCTCTCACTCACACACACACACACACACACACACACACACACACACACACACAAACATGATCTGAAGTCAGCTGGGCGCCACCGGCTCACACCTGTAATCCTAGCTACTGAGGAGGCAGAGATCAGGAGGATCACAGTTCAAAGCTATCCCAGGCAAATAGTTTGCAAGATCCTATCTTGAGAAAAACCCATAACAAAATAAATAAATAAATAAAGGGCTGGTGGAGTGGCTCAAGGTGTAGGCCCTGAGTTCAAGGCCCAGTACCACACACAAAAAAATAAATAAATAAAAGATGTTGCGAACTCAGTAAGTCTAAGTGCAAATTCTGGCTTCACAAGAATTAATAATGCAGACTTCAGTATTTCATGTAATCCTTCTCCGTATCTACTTGATCAAAATCTATAAAATGAGTTTCATAACAAGCTACTTTTCGGGATGCATCAAGGATCACTTAAGATTATGTATAGTTCCTGAAGGTCAATTAATGTCAGTGACTCCTGATGAATTTTATGCTGAGTTTCCCTCTGGATGACAACTTTTACCAAAGAGAAATTTATGTGTCCTCTAAATGTGCCTCAGGATTAAGCACCCTCTGTCCTTGTTTGGGTTATTATTTAAAAGGGACACCACCCATTTTTATTTCTGATTACAGGGCCATAGCAATGCTCCCTGTGGCAGTCTCTCTTTATGGGAACTGTTTCTGCTGCTTGCAGAAGTCATCAGATGCAGAAGGCTGGCTCTCTCCTTCAGTGGAACACTCAGTAATGGAATCACAAAAGTTTAAATTATCTCTCTGAGATCACTTAGAAAATAGTTCAAGACCATTTAGCAGACACTTACATGACTTCCATGCTAGAGTTCTTCGGGGACCACCCAATGTCATTGCTGCTACTCCTCAGTTGTTTAAAAAAATTACTGCTTAAAAAGTAAGTCCTACAAGAGGAAGGATTCTCAGCTTCTATCTTCCACCAACAAATAGGTTAAAATACTGATTTACCACTATGTGAAAAGGTTTGCCTACATGACAGGACACACACAGTTAGAAGAAAAAGAAGGTAGAAGGACAGGTTCTCATTTGCCTCTTCCTCAAGAGACAAGATGGTCAGATGGAATATCATATTATTTCATCTCTGTGGACATCAAAGTAAAAACTCTGTTCTCAAATTAACAATTATCTAACAGACTTTGATCTTGTTGTGTAAAAGGCAGCAGAATGCATCTAACATCCATAGCATCCATTCTGAGAGGCCACAGGGACACATTGGTCTGTCCTGGTGTGCTGTGCAGAGATAAAAGAAACAGCTGAATAATCTTAATAGAACTAAGATAGCTGTGGAGTGCTTATTGGCACATTTTCCTCTTTAAAAAAATTGCACATGCTGAATTTTATTGTTTTGCTCACTAAACCCTATCAATCTTCATGAGCTTATAATTAAGAAAATATTATACTTGGCAGGACTCCTTGCTATTATCAAATCACTTTGAAAAGAAGAGGAAAAGTACAACTTGTGTAATGTAGCTGTTGTTACAAATTCCAACTATTTGAAATGTTATTGTAAGACCACAAGGGATTCTCAGTGCATTTGTGTGCATTTTAAAGGACTGAATTGCAAAATTGGTTTCCAGCAATTCCATAGGTACACAATGTAAACAACAGAGAATATTTTATTTTTTTTATTCCTATCCTTCAAAGATTTGTAGTGTCCAAACCTGAGAAGCAGAAAACCCTATAAAAAGGGTTCATACAAAAGTAATAGATACTTAAGTCCCTTCTCTCCATCTGGCAACAGATGGCAGTATTGAAGCATGAAAAACTCCATTGGGCTTTCTGTTCAGTTACCTGCTGAGTTTCTCCTTTTTAAACTTAGGTATGACAGAGGAATCTAGAATTTCTAATGAAGCAACACAGTTGCCATCTCCTTAGAATTCTCCTTCCCCACTTTTTACTTCCTTTCTTGTTAGGAGATATATTTTCCATTCATTTGCCTATTCAACCTTGACAAAATCTTCTTAACTTTTACTTCACACCCAAACACCTATTTGTCATTCAACTAAATGAATGCCAAGAACATACTCAGCCTAGCAATGTTCTGGAGGAACAGGAGCTCAAAATCTAAAGCCTCTGGTGTCCGGGATACTTTCCGAGTTGTGTCTTCTAATTACTTCTCCCAGTCAAGTACAAATAATGGAATTCCTCTCCTTTCAGATTCCGGGAACATCATCTGTAGTTCAGAGAAAATGGAAGCCTCTGCAGCCTGCTTCACAGCCTCGAGGGTCAGGACAGCAGACCAAGTCCGGGATTAGTGCTGTGGCTGCTGAAATAAAACAGATTAGAGCCAGAAGGAAAACTGCTCGGATGCTGATGGTTGTGCTGTTGGTGTTTGCAATCTGCTACCTACCAATTAGCATCCTCAATGTCCTGAAGAGGTAAAGCTCACTCTTAATTTTAATTAACGTTTTAATTAACATCTTTCTTTTTCTTGCATAGGGAAAATCTCAACTTTCTGTCTAGATACATAGTCAGCCTAGAAGTCTCAGTTATGTAGATATATGTACACACATGTATATATACATATACATACGTACACATATATACGTGCGTATAATATACACCCCTCATTTATAGCTTGGGGTTCTTCTTTGATGAGAACAAATGAATTTTCCCATTTTGGCCTTAAAGGATGAATCATAGACAATCAAAACAGAATTCTTTCTAAAGGACAAAAGGAGCTAAGAAATTTTTTTTGAGCATTAAACAAAAAAACTAATCAAAGCAGTTACTATATGTAGATCAGAAAGAAAATCCATTTCTGAAGCTACTGCACAAACTCATGATGAATGGTAATGAAAATCACAGTTTTTCACTGAGGGAAAGTATATAATTTGTTACACGACAAACACAACTATTAAGTTGAAATAATTGACCAATGACATGAGCACCAGATGCAGAGTCAGTGGTACACACTGAGCTTCACGGCCAGCCAACTTTATTGGGGATTATCAAAACTGTTGGGCGTAGACCAGTCCCAAGGCAATGCTAATTCTGTTTATAATAGACTTTGGACTTAACCTGGAACTGCTCCTCTCACTTTCCCCTGCTTCAGAGTCAATATCATATTCCTCACAGCTGGGGACTCTGGAGAGAGGCAGCTCTGGCTGGAGTCAGACTAAAGGTGGTATACCCAGCTGCAAGGATTTCTCATTCTCTTTGTTTTTGATTGTTTAATGGCTTTTTCAATAGAGAAGACATGGAAAATGAACTTTTGTTCTGTAATATTATTTACTATAGTCACAGCCTTAAAGATATAAGATTTTTGACAGCTTGGGCTCTTGGGACACAAGCAGGCTCACAAGAAAATGAAGTTTTTTGCTCTCTGTATCCATATCTTTTTATCCTCCTCCTCTTATTTTTCTTGTTCACAGAAATCCCATACAAATGTATTCTGGTGTTTTGCTAGATGGTGTTTTTTGCTTTTAACTTTGAAGCATGATATTCACTGAAAAGATCTTCAGGTCTCTTCCTCCTCCTCTACTCCCTCTTTTCCTCCCTCCTCCTCTGTTTCCTTCTTTCTTCTTCTCTTTCTCAATTATCTAGCCTAAATTTAATTTTAAAATGGGTTTACCACTCTCTGGTTTGCTCATTTGAATTTCCAGTATCTCAGCCCTTTCGTCTCTTTTTTCATATTTCCAGTATCTACTTGTCAATAGCATTTCTCTTGTTCTTTTGACTAAAGTATCTTTTCTTCCAAGAAAAACAAATATCTTTCTAAGGAAAAAGTTCAACTTCAATTTAAAACATTTTTTGAGTTATTCTTTTAGCATTCTGCTGTTTTCCACAAAATAAAATCTTTATAAAAATAAATTTTGAAAATTGTTCTCTTTAACACAAAAATCTTCCTAAAATGCTTCACTGTAAATTTGCTCTTGCATGTTAAATTTGTCTTTTTAACATTCATCACAGACACAAAAAATTCCAGTTCTTTTTCCTTGAAACTTAACTTTTTGCCTGATTAGTCAAAACAACCTCTTAAAGCACTTTTGTTTTCCCTGAAATTCCAAAGATTCAGAATCCAAAAATTCGGAGACAAACACTTATAATGCAGTATAAATTCCATTTCTCTATATTATTTTATTCAGTATTATGTTCCAGCACTCCATGGAGCATCACCTTGTTCCAGAAATGCATTTCAATTACATGCTTCCTTATTGAAAAGAAAACATGGGGCACAAATCACACAGTTAATGGTGGAAACTTCAACAGGAAATACATTGTTCTCCTTGTCCTGTAAGCTTATTGAGCAGCTGCAAGCTATCTGCTGTTATTTAGTGAATAGAATTATCCAACTCTATCAAGAAAAGATATCCCTAAGAGTTGAGTGGAACAAATCTTAAAAGGGCTTTTAAGGGATATCATCATAAAACATATTTCAGAGTTTGATATAATACATGAAAAATTAAAACTCAAGAATCTTAATGGATTATCAGAATCTTGCCTCCTGAAAACATTCTTCTCTGAGTACAAGGAGGTTCCAGAAGCCAAATTTCAGCAAGGCCAAGAACACCAGAATTGAGAAAATATAATACTTTGATCAATGTCCAAGAGAAAGTATAAACAAAAATTTATAGACTGCAGTATTTAAATTTTGTGTATATGGAACATCAGCTGAAGATTGCTCAATTGTACTTAGAAATGAAATAAAGGACTAAATATTTAACTTCTGTGTTCTCATCCCTAAGAAGTCTGCATTTACAGTTTGCAGGACAGACCCTCCTTCTCTGACCTGCTTCAGTTCTTGAGTTGCTAATTCCTTATATATTGAAATTATTTATTCTAAAAGGACTGTGAGGAGTCAGGCTGCCTCTACCAAGGGCCCTGCTCAACTGTGAATTCAATTATTTAAAACGTACTCTCCAGAATGACTCTGGATTTTGTTTTCACTTCTTCTCCCACAGAGTATTTGGGATGTTCGCCCACACTGAAGATAGAGAGGCTGTGTATGCCTGGTTCACATTTTCACACTGGCTTGTATACGCCAACAGTGCTGCAAACCCAATTATTTATAACTTCCTCAGTGGTGAGTTCTCAACTGTTTCTTCTGTAAACCAGAATTCTAACTGAGGGTGACAAGCAATGACCAGGTTTGGAGCATCCTTAGAGTGCACGAAGACCTTAGTTCTTACTTAAAATATGTTTTTCCCTGACCCGATTTGTCTCATTTCTTCCTTTTTGAATATATATATATAAATATATATTATATATATATATATATATAATTTTTTTTATTTTTAAGACAGGGTCTATGTAGCCCAAGCTAGCCTCAAACCCGCAGCCCTTCTTTCTCTGGATTACTTGTGCACCCCCAATGCCTGACACCCAACCGAGTTTCTTCCTTTGTGAAAGTTAACTAACTCATCAGAGAAAATTATCTAAGTGATCACAGCTAATTTCATTTTTTTAATTAACTTTGTTTATTTTTGCTCAAAGATAATGCTCTGAGCCTTGCCCTAGCAGACAAGCCTATTAGGAGGTCATGGGGAAAGTTTTTTGAAGTACAAGTCACAGAACCTAGTCAATGTCTTTTATGGGGGCTAAGGGAAGGGAGGAAGGCATCTCATAACCACTTGGTGTGTAGCTATGATTGTCCTAGACCCTTAAATATTCTTCTCTTTAATCACTTAATAACACAGGGGCATAACTGAGATGCACAGAGAAGAAATGGCAGTTCTCGATACAACAATTGACTCTGCTAAAGCTGACTGGTCTGTTTTTATAATTCACCAATTCCCCATCAGTGATTTAAAAATAAGGAATACTTCTAAAGGTTTTACCCTTCTGTGTTTTTTTTTCTGTTCTGCCTTATATAAATGATAAGACTAGGATATTTTATAGATGCTTTAATGTATTTTCTAGATATTTATTGACCTGTTTTCAGTAGCACTTTCTTTAGAATGCAAGGTCTTTCTGTACAGCTTTGGTTATGTATAGCATTGGATCCACTGGTTTTGAACTAAGTAGGTATATCTGGACTTACTTTGACTGAAGACCATTATTATTACAGTTATATAGTTAAAATGTACCTGCATTCACAAATACATGAAGTTTTACTATAAAGAATGAACCAAACTCCAAGTGTGACATTTTAAAAGAAGCCTCATTATTTTACAGAAATACCTCATTGTTTCAAGAGCCTACCATGCTTCCAAAAAATTAATTTCCTTTTCCTATTTTCTGCATCTTTGCAAAATATTACACCTCATTGTTAGTTTGGCTCAAGGGAGCCCCTCAGTCCCACCCTACACATTATTTGTTGAAGCGATTATGCATCTAATTCATTTTCCTTTCATTCTCCCTGGTTTGCCAGGAAAATTTCGGGAGGAATTTAAAGCTGCATTTTCTTGCTGTTGTCTTGGAGTTCACCATCGCCAAGAGGATAGGCTCACCAGGGGACGGACCAGCACAGAAAGCAGGAAGTCCCTCACCACCCAGATCAGCAACTTTGATAACTTATCAAAACTCTCAGAGCAAGTTGTGCTCACCAGCATAAGCACACTCCCATCAGCCAACGGGGCGGGACCACCTCAAAGCTGGTAGAAATCTTTCTCATATGACGAGGATGCTTGAGTCAAACGATTCTTTTTTAAAAATCTCGGTAAACAGAAATTTTATGACCTAATCATCTGAAGCTAAAATTACTTACTGATCCAGTTTTTGAAAATCTATGGCTCTTTGGAAATAAAAAAGAGTCAATAATTTCTCAACTTTTGAGTTTAGAAGTTTCAGCTTCAACTGCACTGATTTCAGGCTTTTTCACTTTTAATTTCATGTATTAAAATCTGTATCTATGAAATGTTTGCACTTTTCTTATTCTTTTAAGGATCCCTTGTTATTTTAGACTCACACAAATTGGTTGTTAAAAGTCACCAAAACTTATCTAGTGATTTTTCTTTTGGCTGCTAAAAGAAATAGCAATTATTAATTCTCAGTTAACTTTTTTTTAAGATCAAAGACTGTCTTTGCAATGTGAAGCTGAGAGAATGTTATATAAAATAGCATATTACTTATAGACATTCAAAGCTATCTTTCAAAAGTACATGAATATACACTATTAATCTTTATTTTCCATTTATTTTATCACTCAATTTTCTCAGGTTTATAACCTTACCATCTTAAACATTTCTTGTCTAACACATGGCCAATAAATTCTATATTAAAATAAAAATTTTACATAATTTTCATCTCTAGGGAAACACTTTAATATTTGAAAGTGAGATAAAATTACATTATGTTCTTCTAAGCAACAAAAAAATAGAGATAGTTAGCCAGGTTAGCTTAAGAATGTACCACAGTGCTAGGTGACAGGGAATGAGGAAGGAATGATCGCAAACATGACTTCAAAAGAGCTGTAATCTGGGGCTGAGGATATAGCTCAGTGCTTGTCTAACTTGCACAAGGCCAGGTTCAGTTCCCCAGCACTGTCAAAAAAAAAGCTCTGTAGTCTAGTGACAGAAACATGTTGACAAGAGTGCAAAGAGCAAACAAATAAAGGGGATGATTCCTGGCCATGCCAGAGCAGTGACACAACCACGAACAGTGGTCCTCACCACAACCCTGACCACACTGTTGCAACCCCCTCCCATGTAATTATAATACAGCTCTATGCCTGTAGTGAACAACCAGGCAGTTAGGAGATTAGAGACGTTTGGCCTGAACTCACATGCAAATGAAAGGAGTAGAGTACACTTTGTTTAAATGCAAAATATGGGATTCCAAATTGGTTCCTCTGCAAAATTTTTCTGATTCAAATATTCACTTTAAATTAAATTAAAAATGTTCATGAAAAGATGTCCTTCATTTCATAAATATAGCAGAGGTATTCTGACTGCATTGAAACAAGATATGGACACAATATTCAAAGATTTACTTCAAAGATAGTATCTCTTTATCTTGTTTATTTCAAACTCATTATTCTCAGAGAAAAGTGATACAATACAAATTATTCATAATTGGTTTTCTAATCTCAGAATTTAGGATTTTGTTACCTTGTGCCTTTTACTACTCAAAGCAAAGATGACCCTCTTGCATGAGGTTTATTGAAATTATATTGCTAGATATCAGCACTGTATTAATGAAAGCAATGCATTTAAAACCTCTCCTTTCTCCCTTTGTACATTTGAGAACTTCTTGTCTCATGTATGCTGCTTGAGAGGAGAGTGGTATCTTCTGACTGTGATGGAAGCACTTTAGTGAGTTTGAAGATAACTTCAAACAACTTAGGTAATATGCCTTAATAGCCAAGAATTAGCTCAGAGTATGACTAAACAATATAGACTCCACTATGCATAGCTGCTGTTATTTAAAAGAAGGGAGAGTCTTTGACAGGGAAAAGGGGGGAGAGAGAGAGAGAAACTCAAAGAGATGACATTCATGTGAAAGATCTGAAGTCAGAATTCCTTTACTCTGAATCAGTGATTCTTAAAATATGGTTCTGGAAGCACCAAATTCTCCTAGCAACTTATTAAACATGCAAATTTCTACACTGTCCCAAGCCTGCTGGCTGAACCAGAAATCTGGGGGTGGTCCCCAGGAATCTGTTTACAAGCCCTTCAGGCAATTCTGAAGCAACTTAAGATTGGCGAACCACTGCTCTAAATGAGACCAACTGGAATCAATTTATTAGCCCATGTGAAAAAGAGTCTTTACCGCACAGGTATCTACAGCAGGGACCACCATCATCTCTATTGTCGACCTGGTTGGAGGTCTGAAAGAAGAGGCTGAGGTCGAGGCTGAGTATCCATGTTGAAATCTCACCAGTGACATGTCACTCAAAGCGATGATGGGTTATAGTACAAGTGCTACTGTGTTATAAGGACTGAGTGAAAGAAGATTTGTTGTAGGACACTTGTGTGCTTTATAGAGACCTGAATGATTTTTTAAACTAAAACTTTCAAATCCCCAATTTTCTTTACTAAAGTTCTGCAGAAACAAATGGTTTCTAAGAAAAATCATTATCTAAAAGGAAAATAATAAAGCAGAACCAGGACTTAAAAGAAACTCTGAGAATGAAATAATAGACCACGTATATATCTCTCAACAAGTGCACCCACAATCCTGCTGAGAGATCTGGACTTAGTGTGGTTACCTTCATGGGACAAATGGCAAAGAAACCTAAACCTTGCCAATGTTATAGGGGGAAAAAAGGGTCAACTACTTACCTCATTATGGGCTAATGACACAAATGAGAAGACTTCTTATGAAGAGTTTGTGTTGTAATGTATTTATGGTATACGTTGAATATATATCTCTCCCTCATTTCTGCTATAGTTCAAATATTTAATGTAAAATGTTAATGTCACCAAATTTTGTTCTTAGTAAAGATGATATAATAATCTTACCTAAAATAGAATATATTTGAACTTCATCATTTTTTACTTCCTACAAAACCATTAAAACTTGAATTTGAATTAATTCATTCTTGGCAAAAGATTACCCTTAATTAGTGAGGGAAAAATTGCTTTTAAATTTTTCAAAATTTGGAGACTTTCTTGGATATTAAATACTATTACAAATTATTGGTAAGTCAATTGCAAAAGTGTTAGGCACAATAATATTGAGTTTTTTTCCCAGTACATTATTTTAATAAAGAATACAGTAAATTTGCTTATGAAATGTAATCTGAATATGTTTAAATATGAAATATCAGAATGGCAAGTCTTCGGATCTCTTTATTGACCTAAACTTCAAGGAGGGCTATTATCACTTTGACTCTAGTGTAACAGTATCATGTTTTCCACTTGAAGTAAATCATAATAGTAATTAACTACATTTCAAAAAAAATCCAACTAGGCATTAACAATTTAGAAAGCTTTTCAATGGAGTTTAATTTTATAACAGATGACTTTTCTACTTCCTGCAAGTCACAAGTCAAACAAAAAAGTAAATTCCACTAGGTTACATTCAAGTAGTTCTCAAATTGCATGAAGCAAAACAATAGATTTTTAGAGCCAAAATATAAACTGGGAAACACTGTTAATTTAAATCTATTCTGTTCCCTTATATACCACAGACAATGAAGTGCTAAGGCATGAAAAATACTCTTATCTCTCAAAATTCAGTGGGCTTGTTTTCTACATAACTACTGCTACTGAAAAGGGGGCAAAAGACTCCCCCTAACTTGCCACGTATTTCTACATAAGCTTCTTCATAAGCCTTGGAGTTAGGATGCCTTTTAAGTTTTCAATGATATGTGTTTCTATAATTGGTGTATCTCATGTATGTGATATCATGTCAATTGTTCAAAAATTATATCTTAAAGTTCTTTATGCCTGTTTGTACTGTGTCTTCATGAAAAATTTTCCTCTCAAATCCAATGTGATTACACATTTGCCATGATGAAGCATGCACATTACATAGTTTTTAAGCAGAAACCATAGGGAAAATTCTACAATCACATCCACACTGCCCTCTGTGTTGTATGAGAAATTGTGTTGTTGCTTATTAGCTAAGTTGTATATTTGTTCAAAATTTAGTGTCAAATCTTTGCAGTTAAGGATGGAATTAAACCCTCTGGGGGAGTACTTAATGACCAAAACATTATTCCCAATGAGTTTACATAACCAGGGCAAATCATAAGATTATTAATCAAATATTTCACAAAAAAATTACAAACCTATAGCATTAAATTTTGGAACTTTTATCCTACTCAGAGGTTTAATCTGCTTTTGACTTAGAGGGCATGATGACCTCCCTCATGATTTACTTATCTTATCAGATTTGGTAAATACCGTGTTTACATGGCCATTATGGTAAGATTATTTTAAGTTCAATGATTAAAAACAGATTCTGCTTTTCTTTTACTTGTATGATTCTGATAAATTTCAGAATCAAGTGCCGAGGATTTTAGTTTTAAAAATCCATTCTTATTCAACACTTTCGATTCTAACCTTTATCAAAGGTATAGTAATCGGGCAAGACAGATATTTGACTGCCGGAAAAATGTGATTGAAGTTTGGGGTGATTTCACAGCAGGAACTGAAACCTGTCATAGTGAAATCCCAAGAAAGAGCAATTTCATGGTGAGATACTTCAACCTCTTCAACCCAGACCTGAAGAGAAGTCATAGCATCTTCACACCTGTTCAGATCAACAGCCATACAGGAGAAGAAGGGTAACAGAAGAAAGTCTCTTGATGTGCCTCTCTCGTCCTGTCCTCCTTTCCCTGTTCTCTCACTCACTGCCTTGCTTCTTTTCCTTAAACTCGGCATTGGCAGTACTTTCTCCATAATTTGCCTTGCCCTACAGAGGTCTGGGACCTTTTTTTCAGTCCAACTTCCATCCAGTTACTTTTAGGCTCTTCTCATCTCCCCAAGGATCACATGGCAAGTGAAATTTGCAGAACTCAGAGGAAAATATTTAAAAAGTTACATTTTGCATCCAAAACCCTAACAATTTTACACTTTTACAAAGCCACTTATCCTTCTCAGAATATAAATATTCATTGGTCAACTTCTGGGTGTATTAACTCCTTTTTTAGGCTCCAGCTCAGGGAGATGCCTCAACCTGAGGCATCAGTGAGACTTAAGCCATGGTAGGCCAATGGGTAGGAGGTGTTGGGGAGAAATCCTGCTTTGTGGCCCTTTCAGAACCAAAACATCCATTTCATTACTGCTTTGCAGGTTCATTCCCTTTGTAGGAGGCTAAAATAATACTCAATTTTTAATGTTATTTAGTCCATACTACATTT